GAAGTGAGTCAAAGACTCAAATTATAAACTAGCTTGCGGGATTAATAGCCCATAGGAAATATGGCTTTATCTATCCTGAGACCGCAGAACTATGATGTAGCAGAAAAATGTAGAGCAAAACTCCAATTCCTAAAATAAATGGCCAACTTCCTCAACTGATAGACTACCACCTTAAGATATCCTTTCAGGTTGGGACTGAAGCCACTCCCAGAAGTTATCTTTCAGCTCAATAGCAGATTAGTGTATAAACAATACACTGTGCTCTTGAAGGAATTATCTTTATGAAACCAATGATCAACATTTGCCCTAAAACAAAGATGAGAGGAGGGAAGGGTGCTGGTGGGGGTGGGGGGCGGGGGGAAGGGTAAGGGTGGGTGGGAAGGGTGGAGGTGGGTCAGGGAAGCAAGCTTCATAGAAATAGACAGAAGGGAAATAATGAAAATGCTGAAAAATTATGGAAAATGCAACCAATGTCACTGAACAATATTTAATAATTGTTAAATGAGAGGCTAATTTGCTATGTAAACTTTCAGCAAAAACACAAGATTTTCTTTTTAAAAATATCGTTATCTCCGCTTTTAGAAATTATTCTTTAAGCTATAGAATAAGGTATTTTGAAATTAATGAGTAGGAGCTCCGCAACTCTCCAATTTAAGTAGTTGGCTTGATATCAGTATAGACGTTTTAATATTCTGGGACAAAGGCAGAATGCAATTATGTTCTAGGGCATAAGGCAATGAGAAAACAGCCCTGTCTGCTTTGATGGTATAGACGCTTATATTAGGATTCTCCAGACATTGAGTGCAATGATATCATAATAAAATACTTAACCAGAGGTCAATGTAAATCTCTTGTTCCAAAATTAAAACAAACAAAAGCACAACTTAATATGTATATTTGTTAAAAAGCCCAGAAACAGGCTTGATCATTTTTCAGTCTACAATGGAAACGGATGACCTCAATGCTAATAACAGAGAGCTGAGCAATGTCCAGTTAGAGACAGTGAATCATCTAAATGAATACAGACGGTGCCTAGCATTGAGTCAATATTAACTAATGATCAATTTATCGGTTAAAAAAATCCCATCGATGAAATAATTTAGATGAGTAATTTCAGGAAGTTAGAGATGAGGTTTTAATTGTTCTTGTGATGGTTTTTTTTAAGACCGCAATTATGTTTCCGGCAGGTTACATGATTCCAAATGAATAATCCAAGTCTGAGAAACTTAAGGTCTTTTTTTTTTTAAATCAATTTATTGGGGCTCATAAAGTTCATCACAATACATAGGTCAATTGTGTAAAGCACATCTATACATTTGTTGCCCTCATCATTCCCAAAATTCGCTTGCCTCTTGGGTTCCCGGAATCA